TCCTCGAGAGCCTGACGAAGCTGATCTTCGGTATATTGAGGCATTATATATAGAAGAAGACATGTGCAAAAGATGAGCCCATTTGGACGCGAATTGAAAATGTTGTGATAAAAGGAGGTTGGGGGTGGGCATTGGGTTGTGGTGGATTTTCGCGTTTTTGTGGGTGCCAGAAACAGGGGGGTGCCAGGAAGTGGGTATGTTGACTTACTGTGATGTTGATGGGGTTGCCGACGGTGTCGAAGTTAGAGGAGATGTACAGCGAATTATCCTTCTTATTATAGATACCACCCTCATGAAAGGCTTCCCATGAAGTCTCTTGGGCGACTTTGCCAGTCGCATTCTGACCTATCAGCTTGGAAAATGACGGTTGATATGACAGAAACTCAACCGCGGCAGCTTTTGCCCAGAGCATCATGGTAGCCCAGAGTGAGAGGACCACGACATAGTTGGAGAACCGAGAGATAATAAGCATTGTTTATGAGTTTGACAAGTTTCCTTGACTAAGAGCATATGATTCTCAGCTTGAGATACTGCTGGAACGGGTGGAGAGTTTTGCGTCGGCCTCTTTCAAGCGCGTTACGTGAAAGAGCGAGCAGCGAGAAAGTAGCGTGTCAGGATGGGTATATGTAGTTACGGCGAAGGAGCAGGCTACAACGGCCGGACCTTGTGCAATACCATCGAAGCACGCTGTAGCACAAAGGGGCGCGCACTGCTCGAAACCTACATGTATGATGACTCCGTATGACCATCCAGGTATAGTTCTCTTCTCACGGGTGGGATGTGGATTAGAAGGCTCTTGAATCCGGGGCAAGGTCTGCTTGACCACGTCAGACGATCTGCGACAATGCAGTACGTGCAACACGAATTTGTACAGCATTAATACCTTAGACGAGCTCAAGCCAGTGACGGAACTTTAATCTTGTATGATTACGACTGGAGATGTGAAACCTGCAGTGCAATGTTGTACCACATCTGAATTTATCAACGAGGGAAAAGGCTCTCCGCAAAACTTAGATTACACCAATCGTAGCTGGGCGGGAAGCAAGCGTCGACAGTCTGGTTCAACAGAAAAGAGCTCATATTAGGCGCTATAGCGACAATTCCAAGCAAAAAAGGTGTGCCTGCTGCAGCGCCAAGAATCTACCGCAGCTCAATATACGCGTGATTCGAGCGACCTATCTCCCAAAGATGCAAAACTTTGTTACATAAACCAGCACACCCACGCTTTCAGGCATCCGGGGTGAGCTGGTACGCCTCTATGACGATGAAGTCATTGCCAACCGTCGTAATTCCAGCAATTGCGATATTGTTCACCCAGTAGTACTCGTCATTACCAGTCTCTAGTGTGATGTGCGTCAAAATGCGTCCATCCGGCTGGCTAGGGCCCTGGGAGTGTGCAAAAATGTCGACGCCATCGTTGGTGCGAATTTGATAGTAGGCGTCGACGTTGAACGTGCCCTTCGAGTCAAAGAGGCCCCAGTCTGCGCCTATGCTCAGCACCTCGCCTGGCCGGGCAAAGTTGTCAGCCCAATGCAAAATAATTCAGCCCTTTTCTTGGTCGACGCAAGCATACCTGAAAGCTTGGATCCCGTAAGTGTGCCCCCAAGAATTGGTATAGAAAGTCTGGTACCCTTAGGACCAGGACCGAAAGATGTTTGCTGTCCAGTGGTAATGTTGGCTTGGAACAAAACTCCTGATTGCAAGGCTGCAGCGGCAGTACCCAGGCAGGACAGAAGACCCAAAGATGCCAGGTTGAGGATTATTGAGGACAACATAGCGGTGCGGCGTAAGAGAAAACTGATTAAGTTGTGTTTCAAGTCGTTAAGCTTGTTCGGGACGAGACTTAGGATGAACTCTGGGGTTCTATATATGCTAGATAGCAGCCAGCGGCATGATCCAAGTCCAAGTGTGCTATGCCTCATTGATACAAGCCAGATTCCATTTCGGATTTGTGAGCAAGGCCAAGATTTTTGTTTTCGTGGCAGGTGTCAGTCAACACTGGAAATCGAAACGGGCAGCCCGGAACTGGTAGTGCGAGGTCACGAAAATGTGCCCGCTGGACCTACGAGCTGAGACTACGACACGACCGTAAACATCATCGGCTACCTGAGCTTTCCCCGGTGACTGGCATCGCTTTCTCCGGTGTATCTCCCCCACCCCCCCCCCCCCTGGGGGTCCATGTCGATGGTAGTTGCTTGCTAGCGGCTGTGGTAAGTTCACACTCTAATTGGAGAAGCTTCCACCCGCAACAAATCAAACGAGAAAATACAACTTGAGACGGACAAAATCGGAGTCCCGGCGTTCCTCTGAGCATCCTACTTGATCCGCGGTCGGATCATCTCGAGTATTTACTCTTTGAGCATGATCCCTGCGACGTTAACCGCGCGCTATGTGCTGAACAAGATTACAGTTTGGAGCTACACAACTTGTCCACGTACAGGGTAGGGATACTTGACTAGTTGAATGCCTCGGCGAATTCTTTCCTATTCTGGCGATCACACATACTGAGTACTCTTGTTGAATGTGTAAGTTCACTTAACTCAGTCGCAACTATTGAATCTACCATGTTACGGAGATTGATATCCGCGTGCCGACAATACCAGGTTCATGGCGTAACTTGATTCGGGTTGTGAACTCCAAGAAGCCTGCAATGAGGCCTACTCATAAGGTTTTCCTTACGAAAAGAGAAGTATAGATTAATCACTTCGACTGGTCTTCTAAGGATCGACGCCAAATCTTAATTCTCCGGCTTGGAGTTCAATGATTTGTGTCAGATGAGAGATATTTGCCTATCTCTGCATTGGCGAAGGTCAAAGAAGCAAGCGATTTCCTGACAGTACGCAACTCACAATGAGTCTGGCTTGGTCGTCAGACCTAGCTGAGTCGATAATGATCATAGCAACTGATACTCCATACGAATCTCTCCAAAATGACTCTATTCTGCCAAACATAGTTTTCACGAGCGCATATAATATTAGATCTAAGATGATTTTTAAAGCCATCAAGAATGACTTCGTGTAGTAAATCGGGTGACAAATTGCTTACGGTTAGTATGAACTTCACTGATAGAATCCATACCATACTAACAAAGCTCGTACAAGTGATTTAAGCATTCTGTATTCTACCGAGCTCAGAACCGCACTAGATAAATGACTAAATGTTGCTTCACATCGTTGCAAAAGCTCGAACGTTACATTCTGGCTATCTTCGTCTGGAGGAATGTCACATAACCACAGCACTAAGCCTTAGAAACAAGCGTGGCTTTGATTTCGTCCTTCAAGTGTTCGAGCCCTCGCGCAAAGTTGTATACTTTGGCCTCGATACCAAGATTTCCGATAGATATGGTCTCTTGAGGATAATAGCTGTACCAATCGGGGTATTGTTCACTGAACCTGAATTGACTAGCCATTTCGGGACCAAATACAGGTCCGACAAGTTTGGAGATCTCCGTGTCCGTTAATTCGGCGTACACGGCAGGCTTGCCAGTAGTCTTGCTCCATCCCTCGACCACCGCTATCCATGGTATAAAGTCGGTTACAATCGGGACGTATTTTGTATGCGTCTTTTCCGGCTGAGAGATGATGGCATGGACGACAATGCCAGTATTGAGGGAGACGACTCCGGCAACAGGGACGATACCATCAGCCTTAGATGGTTGCGCCAAGATGTATTGTCCCAGATACGGTTGAGGAAACATCAAAGGCTGGTTGACCATATTGTCCAGATACCATCCTAACCACACGTAGGTAGTCTTTGCTACAAGGCCGGGATGGGCTTTCTTCACGTGTTCCCCGCCCCTCGCCTTTGCATCCCAATGGGGACATGGAAGCTTGCCGTTAGAGATATCTCTACAATTCGGCATCGTACTGAGAATCAAATGCTTGAGAGTCGAACACTGGGTACAAGCATCAGCAATGTTGATGAACTGCTGCTCCTCATCTTTTTCAGCAGCCTCTAAGCTATGCTCGGGAGCGATTTCCCAGAAGTTTGTCGTCCCGAAAACTGCCGTGGCACCCGAGAAGGCTTCAGATAAAGTTGAAGAATTATTGAGATCAGCAAAGACAATCTCGATTCCAAGCCTTTCGAGTTCCTTGGCTTTATCGCTGTTTGGGTTCTGAGTCAGACCTCGTACTTTCCAAGCCGGGTCTTTGGCAAAGATGCGGGCGACAGAACCACCCTGAGTGCCTGTGGCTCCGGTAACGACGATGAGAGGCATGTCGGAAAGTTGAAAGTCGAGATTTAATCGACCTGTCCAAATGGAATAGTATATGTTAGGTCAAGCGGGAAGGGTTTTCATTCGCATCGGCTGGGTTTAAATGTATCTTGTCCCTGGGTGCGGCGCGTTGAACAACTCCGGCTCCGAGAACAGCAAGCGTAATAACCGCGCGAGTATCAGTCATCTCGAAGCCTGTAATTGCAATAAGCTGCATACATAGGCCTTTGTGCAACACTTCGCCATGTGAGCACCCGTGCTGCACCAAAGAATGCGTCACTACCGCGCGGCCAAGAGGAGGACTCGCGCTATTGACCTCTATTTTTCTGTGGTCGCTATGGCCCCACTCTATTGATTGAAGGTTCTTTCAGCAATAGCTTTGTACTTCATTAACATTTGCATAGGGGGATGCTCTACGTGAGGGTTGAGAGGAGGGGGGCGGGGGGCGGTTAAGCGTGGAATAGGTTACTAAGACATGTCTGTTATGGAGAATACTATTCATTGTTGCAACATTATGCTTCTTATATTCATAGATCATGAGCTTAATAGGACAAATTTGTTACAACCAGCTAGTTGTAGTGAGGTATGTTAGCAGAAGTTGAGGCTGCTAGATCTAAGGAACAGTCGCGTAACCGTGGATTTCCTTTTGTATGTTGAAGTTAAGTATTCGGTGATCAGTCGTAATGTTGTCAAGGTTCTTATTGAAGATAGCTGAAACTGCTCATGAGACTGAACACTTAGTTGATACGATAGAGAATCAACTGGTCCTGAGGCTTTGTCTTGTATCAATGTCGTTTCTCCATGGAATTTGCCATTTAATGTCGTTGACAAGTATCGGGATTCGAGTTGAGGATCTTCCGCTCACACACTTGGAATATTCGAGTGCACGTACTATGAAAACCCGCACGGGTCGTTTCGATAGGAGACAATAACCACATGAAATCACAATCTTCTATCAGAAGTGTCTCCATTGGGAGTGTTGACAGTTCCCGTTTGCGTGATCGCACGGGTCAAATCAACCAGGCACGGTGTTTCACTTAACCACCGTCGGTCGTTTTCGCCCAGAGCTGTTGGAATTTAGCATTGGCTAGGTTTGAGACTGTATGATGCCACGGACGCAGGATAAGAGCAGTAGAGAAATGAATGCTTACACGAGTGCACCAACGACGTCGATGACAAATATCAATTGACGAGTTCCTAGCATTAAAAGCCATGACATCATTCCACACTTCTGGCCCTCAAATATGATAACATATCACTGACGGCAGTGGTTTCTCGTCTCAATCACACGATTGTATTTGAATCACGCTTATCGTAAGACACCTCAGCAGAACCTCAGCCAGTGAAACACATGGCATTAGTAGAATATTAACATCAACTCGAAAATACTATAGAACGACTTACCTATTTGAAGTACGGCGCAAGCTCCTGGTCTCTTTAAAAATCTAGTATTACGGCTACTTCACCCTAAGGGATACCAACGGTGCAATTAGGACATGATATACAGACAGCAGGCTTATGATTATGAAAAGAGTTCATAGGAATTTAATCAAATAACATCAAAGCTGCGATTACATGTTGTCCCCATCCCTTGAAACCCATGCCACCCAATGCCATTACCGTCGTTAAGAAATCACGGCTTATTACTAGAGTGTTATACAAAAAGGGCCACCGGGTTAGCTCGCAGCGCTGAACGTCTCGCCACCCGTCTCAAGATACTTCTTCTCCTGTGCAGTAGACTCCCTGCCCATGGCCATGTTTCTATGCGGGTATCGTCCAAACTGCACGATGATGTCGCGATGCTTCGTCTCAAAATCACAATTCGTCTCTAGCAGGTCTCTAGCGGCTTCTTTCTGCACCGCCAACACGCCCCAGCACTTGCGCTGATCGTCGCTGCCGGCCTCTCCGTCTTCAGCCATCAGCTCCTCAAAATCGTCCTTCATCTGCTGGTACTGCGCCACAGCAAAGTCGTGCAGCGCCAGGTCCTCGGAGTGCATGAAGGGCAGGTAGAACCACATACGGTAGGCCACGCGGTACTTGATCCTGTTGTGAGTCGCAGCGCCGGCGTTGATGGCGTGACGTGCGATTTCTCGCGCAATAGGGTCAAAGAACTTAAAGACTGTCGATGACTCTGGACCCCGGTAGATGTTTCGCGGGACTTGGTCTAGGAGCAGGACCAGACCGAGCCACTGCAAAGGTGTGAATGGCCTCACAATTGTGAGAATGTCTCGAGTTGTGATCTTGGCTGACTTCATGGCCTCCAAAACGGGGCGGAATTTCTTCCTGTAGGTGCACATTAGCAGAATGATCTTTGATGCGATCTAAAGAACAACATACACGCAAGCCTCATCAAAGTCGACGTCGGAGTAGAACCATCGGCCCATCTGGCTCCTCTGAGGTAAGATATAGGCCTCATCGGTCTTGAGATGCTTGAACCAGAACCGGCGGAGCTTCTCAAGCAGATCAGGCGTGAGGGTTTCCTTGAGCCGCGCCTTTGCGTGCGTCTTGCACGAGTTGGACCGCGGCAATCCCCCAATGGACAACATCGGCATCATTTTGTCGTCAGATTCGTCGTCAGATTCGCGATGACAGCTAGAAGAATGGAAACCTCGTCTGCTCGGAGCCGTCGTCGTTGTCGACGGGTCTCGCTGATGGCATGTCAAGGGAAGGCAAGCACCACGACTCCTCACCGCCTGCGACGTTGAGTTGTGCCACTTCTGCTGCTCCCACGGCTTCACCCGCAAGAGACGGCGGTCGACACACCCCGCATTTCGAAGGGTGCGACTTATGATCTGATGAGGAGGCATGACAGCCACCTCTCACTTACAGAACGACAAAGGGTGGCCAATGGGCGGAGGGTGGTGCCACCAGAGCTCGCACTGACGTCGTCTCGTCTGCTGTCTTTGCTGCCCTTTCGTTTCTGGGGGAGGTCTGGTCAGAAAGGGGGAAAGTCTGGACGCGTCGAAATGCGGGGTTTGTGCAGGCCGAGCGCCCCATTGTGCAAGTCAGGGTCCCTCGCTTGCCATCCGCTAATGCAAAGAAGAGCGAGCTGGGCGTGCTGGCGCTGGCGTGCTGCTTTGCTTATGTTAGCGGCTGGATGGTGGCACAGGATCGATTGGGTGGGGATGTGGCTTGGGGGCAGCACTTGATCCCACCAAGCATCCAACTACGTGGAAATCGGCATTATGGCAGAGAGGATCCAAGGCGTTGGACAAACTCGGAGGCTTGGTCGAGAACGGCCATACGTTGGAATGTGGCGTAGATCAGGGATCGGCAGAGGCCAGACAAACCCGGTTCATCATGGCGTAGGGTTCCGTTCGCTCTGGACTCTGGAGAGATGAGTGTGGTTAATCCGGAAGCTTTATGGCGAGGGACAGCTCAGAGTTAGAACTGACGTCAGTTGAGACCGCGCGCCTAGGAAAATGTAAGAGAGAACGAAAGATACTCACGCTGCGGCGTCTAACTCAAACGTACAGATCCGGCGGCAAAAGCAGTGTAACATAGGTATCTCATTAAAGTACCGGCATGACTCCCGTGGTTACTTGGCGGGCTAGAATGAATGTGGCCCGGAATCGAGTTTCGAGATTATTACTAGGTTGAACGAAAGCTTGGGTCCGGCTGCACAAGAAAACATGGTACTATCATAAGAGACCTTATAAGCCGGCCAACTAAACCTCGGCGTTCATGCTTTTCCCCACACTGGCACCATGGAAGCTAATTGTTCGCGAGATTCAAAAAAAGGCAGTGAATCTGGTACGCTAAAATTCGCAGCCTCCGTTCCTCTGCTCCGGAGACCACTAGATGACTTCAGCCGACGGCTAAAGAGATCTATTCCCACCTCGAGGTCAGCAGTCACGCAGCATGCCCCCCAAGTGCCGCTGAATCGTTCACGGGCCGCTGCTAGTGCCACCATCCCGAACCTTAACAGCTTGTTTTAAAGATGATGCTCGAGATCCCGTCCAACTTTAAGATGGCTTCTGGGATCATCTCAGCTGTCATTTATTCTGGATAAATGCCATCCTGGAGACCGGCATGGCCGGCTAAACAAGCGATCATGTGTAATAGGGGGACGGACGAGCTGCCTCTTTGCCTCTAAGACTCTTTTCCCGAGAAAATAAAAGAGGAACCGCTTTCTCGGCCGCAGTGCCGGAGCATGCCCCTTGCGTAAATTGCGGAGAGCGTAGCAAGGATCATGCAACATCGGCCCCGGCTTGGTTCATTTACTCCCGACGATGCGGCCACTCAATCCGACTCCTGACCTAAACTCGACACGTCCATTGGCGGAACCCCACAGTTCCTCATCGGTCCATCACGGCCGGCCACTCGTCGACCGTTTGGGAAAGATTTCCCAGGGGTTGGTGATGAGCCAGTGAACCACACATGGGCTCTTGTCACCCCAAAACCGAAAAGCTCGTAAACTTCGCGCAACTCTGCTAAGAGAGCAACTTCTTGAAGTTCCCACCCGGTCCCAAGAATGCTACCCACGTGGGTCGACGTTAGTTTATTCTGGGCAAGGCGGTCCCATCGAGAACACAACCCCCAGTTCCCATGCAACCGATGCCCAAATACCCATAGGAAACGGCACTTGAATCTCCGTTTTCCCCTGTCATCCCATCATCGGTTGCTGCTCTGGGCCCAGAGAAACGATCGAGAAAGAATTAGATTGAAAAGGACGGGGTTCGTCCTCGCCCATCCCACGATGCTCTCCTTTCCTCCTCTCTCAGCCTCACCAGCCTCTCTGTTCATACTCCGACCGCTACATTCGTTCTCTTGACCTTTTTTGTACATATCAAAAACCAACCTGTCAATATGGTTTCATTCACTTCTCTCTTCACGGCCTCTTTGGCCGTCGTCGGCGCCCTCGCCGCCCCCGCCACCGACAAGCCCATGACCACCGACCTCATCAAGCGCGCTTCGACCCCCTCCTCCCAGGGAACCAGCAACGGTTACTTCTACAGCTTCTGGACCGATGGCGCCTCCCCCGTCACATACACCAACGGCGCCGCTGGCGCTTACAGCATCCAGTGGCAGTCTGGCGGCAACTTTGTCGGTGGAAAGGGCTGGAAGACTGGTGGTGCCAAGAGCATCAAGTACTCTGGCACTTGGTCCCCCGTCAACAACGGCAACAGCTACCTGACCGTCTACGGATGGACTAGAAACCCTGTAAGTGACCTGCTACTACATGAGTGCACATTAGCAGACTCGCTGACCCAAACCTTCACAGCTCATCGAGTACTACATCGTCGAGAACCACGGCGAGTACAACCCCGGTAGCGCTGGTACCCTCAAGGGCCAGGTCACCTCCGACGGTTCCGTCTACAAGCTGTACGAGAGCACCCGTACCAACGCCCCGTCCATCGACGGTACCCAGACCTTCAAGCAGTTCTGGGCCATTCGCGAGAGCAAGCGCGTCGGCGGCACCGTCACCACCCAGAACTTCTTCACCGCCTGGAAGAACGCTGGCATGACCCTCGGTACCTCCTTTGACTACATGATCGTCGCCACCGAGGGCTACCAGTCCGCCGGCTCGGCCAGCATCAAGGTCGAGACCGCTGCTTAAATGCAGAACACTTTTGAGCCAACATGGGCTTTGGATGTGGGCGACATTGAGGATGAGAAAGGGCCTAGGGATGATCAAAGCGTGTATTGTCGCGCACGTGGGAATTTCAGGGGTTGTCGGACGCAAATCGATCACGATGGAAATTAAGATGGCCTGCAGGCGGAGGGCGGGTCTTGCGGCTGCTCAAAAAGGCAGAATTTCTTCAACTTGATCCTTTTGAGATCCAAGTGCTGTCTGCAAAATAAACCACCTACTTCCCATCAATAGGCGCTCAAGCTGTGCCAATCCTCAAGTTCTACAAGATACGACGAGGAACTTAGGCGATTGAAAATTTGGATTCGGGGAATCGACCTGGCCTCCCTTTCGGTCCTCGTGTCTGAGCACTATAGAAAACAAATATATTGAATCCACACAAAGAGCCTAATTCTGTCGAACACGACATGCACCCCGGGCGAGTCGCCAAATTCGGCCGATGGGAGCTGGGTGCACCAGAACGTATTTCAGGTCCACTGTATGGGCAGACGATCATATTTAGATGCCGGATAACTTGTGCATCAACAAGCTCGGACTGCACTTAACCAAGTGACACTCGAGCTGAATGCCACGACACCAAGTCTGCGTGTCATCAGGCTGTCAGTTGCCGCCGATAGATGTCAACCCACTAATACCGATCGCGACGCAATTGCGAGTGGTCTTGCGGCATATGCTGAATATCCATTATCAATTTCAAGATACAATTGAGCCCACCCACTGAATCGCTGTTCGGTCTTCGCAGGTACGTTGCGAGACTTCAAATTGAAAGAGAGGAAAGTTGCGGCCGGACTTTTTGGAACATGCAGAACATCATGGTCCATTGAGCAAGAGCTTTATATAAGCAGCTTTTCTGTTCCTTAGCCAGGATGCTTCAGTCCTTGACGCACTTACCAGTTGGGTACTCCCCGTCTGATTGAGCATTTATGGCTGTCAGGTAGAACAGGCAATTGTCGAGAATCGCACCGGGCATGACGGTAGCTAAGTATGGAAGACGTTGGATATCATTTATTGTAGATATCGGCATCCCACAGCTCTCGGTCTCATTGACTTGAGGACCTCCCCGATCTCGGACTAAGGCCTGACTTCCTTGTGTCAACAGTTGTGGTCTTCGTCGGCGATACGCCACCATCACACGATCTAATCATCTAAATGAGTGCTTTCCGGTTCCGAGCTATGCGTTCTCTTATCTCTTGTGGGGGTTCGTTGACGTGTTTTGTTTCGCCGGAATCGTTCCGATGGTTACCTGCCCGTAGGGTTATCTTATCTCAACGTAAATTGACACCGATCCTCGACACACGGGGGCTACGGAAAGGTTAATGTTGGTCACCAGGCTTAGGCACCCAAGGATGGCAAGTGATAGCAGTGGATCATACATGGAGCCTTTCGGGGTTGCACTAGAGATAGTGGCTCAGATCACCATGGCGTGTTTGGAAGATTGAAGCAAGGCTTCTTCGAGATACAGATTCGGCAGATGAGTTGGATGGTAGAGAGATGTGACGGACTATCTATGGCTTCATTAGCATAATCCAGCGCATCACAGATGAAGTCCTCCACGTGGTATAATTAACATTTTGAGAATTGCAAGCCATGAGGACAATAATTCCGGTGTTGCCAGTCAGCCCATCGAGTGAAAATCTCAATGCTGCATCTAGATCCTCGTATTATAGCAGTCTGATATAAATTTGCATTGCAGTATTAGGAAACATACGAAAAAAGTAAAAGGCTCAAAGAGGTACAGTTACTTTCATCAGAAGTAGCCAGTACTACACCAGGCAATTCCAGAATATTCAGAATGATCAACGATGAGATGTGCTAGTCAAAACACTCGGTTCAGCTAACACTCGCGAGGCCTAATAATGAGGTAATCTTGAGATGAAATTGTAACTAATGATTCTGATATCATGGGTCTCATGCTCTATATAAAAACAGCGCTTTTTCATAAAATACATAGACTGATGGTCAATCTGATCAGTCCGTTTACAAGTTGCTCTTGATGGGAGCCTCCTTCTCAGCACAGCAGCTCTGGTTGCCCGAAGTCAATTGAGAGCCAATGTCCTTGTTTGAAGGCACATCAAGCGCAGGGTTTCCAGTGAAGAAGTCAGAGGGAGTAATGTGCAATTGCAACATCTCGACGGGCCTGATTCCATTATTAGTCGGTCTGCAATCACAGAATCGCTGTCAAATCAAGGGTAATACTCACATGACGGGCCAATCCTCAATGCGAGGGTTGTGTGTCAGACCGAAGACACTCCAGACGACAACGTCCTGGTTCAGGACGTCCTCGTTCCTGTCAGCAGCATCGCTGACACCGCCGACCTCGAGCTTGCTCTGCAGGGTGTACCGACCGCCAGCGAATAGCTCGTGGTCCTTGTACTTAGTGACCCAGAGGTGGTGGCGCGCGAACAGCGCACGCTTGGACTGCACGCTGTTGGGGTCGGCGAGCAGGAGCTGCGTCGCCGGCGGCGTGATCTTGTATCCGACGGGCTTGCCGCTGATGGGGTTCGGCTTGCTGAGGTTCTGGATCTTGAAGACGCGGTTGTTCATCGGGGCGGCATCGAAGCCCGCCGACGTCGTGATGGGCGTCTGCCTGACCTCGTACAGGTTGCCGTTCGGGTTCGTCCGCTGGTCCATCTTGAGCGGCAGACTCTCCTCCTGCACGACCGTGTTCTCATGGCCGTCGACGGAGGGGTCGATGCGCACGCAGAAGACGTGCTGGTGGTTCTGCGCCAGGGCGCCGGGGCTGACGACATTACCCCAGGGGGCGGTCTTGCCGGGGTCGATGTTGACGACGGAGACAATACCCGTGGCACGGGCCTCGACAACGATGCCGGCTGCTTGGTCGAACTTGAAGTTGAAGATGTACTCGTAGTTGGCGAGAGTGATGATAAACTGGATGACGAGCTCACGGCGGCGGGTGACGACGGCACGGCCAGTGCGCCAGTTGGTGTGCTTCCAGTTGATACCGTTGTCCTGCTCGTGAAGGCAGATGACGTTCTTGGTCTCAACGGCACTTCCCTTGGCATCGGTAAGAACACCATCAAAATACTATGCCAACCATGTCAGTGGACTGCTATGACTTTGGAGTATTCAGCATTGAGACATACCTTGATAACACCGAGGCAATCACAGCCAAGAGTCAAGTTGTTGACTGCGTTACCAAGACCACCATCACCAAAGTCAAAGGCTTGCTTGCGGTGGAAAGGTGGGCGAGGGTCAGCGTAAGGTACAGTCTAGAGCACATTCTTGTTAGTGAAAGCTCTAGAACCAAAACTAAGTACAAGTGTTGAAGTAACTTACCATGTCGCTCATGCTGAGACGGTACATGACCGGACGTCCATCATAGCGGACATCGTGAACAACAGCACCCTCACGAGGGTTGAAGGTAACACGCATGCGCCACTTCTGCCACTCAATGAGGTTGCCATCCGTGATGGAGAAACTGGGACCCTCGGGCTGGACAACAGTCAAGGGCTTCAGGTCCTTGCGCGTGCCATTGGGCAACAGCTCAGGCACATACTCGCTCTCCTGGCAGTGGTCAACAATGGTGGGCTTATGGGTCTTGCCCTGGAGGGCGTCGCCCTTGCCACCGGTAGCCAGCTCATCAATGCGCACAATCTCCTTGGTGTGCGCATCCATGACGGGGATGAGGGGCAGGGGGTAGGCGTAGAAGTTGGAGTCCGGGTTGCCGCTCCTTGTGTCACGGGCGAAGATCAGGGCCTGGAAGAAGCGGCTGTCCCCGTCCGCGGCATCGGGTGCGCCATAGGGCCACGGCTCGACGACGACCTCGAAGCCCTCTGGCAGCTGCAGCTCCGCGATCTTCTCCTTGAAGAGCGGGGAACGCTCGACAGCTTGAGCGAGGGTCTCGAACTCATAGCTTAGCACGTATGCATGTTAGCGCTGCAGAACTTAATGGAAACCTGGGAGCCAGCTAGGGGGGGTGTTAAGGGCTAGGCGTACACAGTCAGACTTGCTTGGTGCTCGGAACCAATGACCTTCTGGTCAACGATCTTTCCCAGGCCCAAGTCTACGATAGACTCGGTGTACTGGGCTTTGCTGGCGCCGCCAATGACATCGTAGAAGGCTTGTGCGCATCTCGCTGGTCTCGGTGAGGAGGCTGTGAGTTTACCAGAGTGCTCGAGCTCCAGGAACTTGGTCACATCTGCTTTTGGCGGCTCCCAGAGGTAAATCACTCTGAAGTCCAGGACTGATCCGCCGTGCGCTGCAAGGACAATGTCTCGCGCCCGGTTGGTCTCTTCCGAAGACAGAGCGGACAAGGGGTGCGGAATGGGTGCCATTGTGGGAGAGGAGAGGTCGAGTAGGGAAGGTCGGAACAAGGGAGGGGAGGGGTGCTAAAGAGGTGTGTGGCCGGAAGTGGTTGACAGGGTCGTTGTCGAGACTGAGCAAGATTGTGTCTTTATGAAGAATTCAGACAACTTGCGGAACCACCTATAAGAGGCTCTCAATTGGTTTTGCTGATAGTGATGCTGTGATAGAGATGGATAGATGTTACGTCGAAAGTCTGGCCCATTAAATGAGACGAGACGCTTTGTCTGCTTCACGCCTTCGGAAGACTTTCCGAGCACACGCTTGTGTGTACAACGCGGAAGCAGCTCGGAAAGACGGAACGCCACCGAGTCAAGAGAGCGCCCCCATCGCTCTCTTATCTTCAACCCTGGCCTAGATAAGCCATTGACAGAAGCTAGTGTATTAAAGATTCCAGCCTTGAAGTTTGCTAGAAGCTCTTGTGATTGGCCACTGATTATAACATTGCTGTTGATTGGACCTCGCGCTGAAGATAAGGTAGACCAGGAAGCTGCTGCGGTACCGCCGGTACAGGATATCGTCTCCATTTTGGGGGAACTCGCGGCACTGCAGCCAGGTTTCGAGGCATGTTTTTGGTTGAAAGATCTGACAACCCTTTCGGTGATAAGATCAAAGAGAAAACGGGACCGTCTTTGTATGTAATAGCCATGGCGTACATAACTCGAGAATCGCCCGATACACAGGGGTCGACTCAGTAGGATCGTACGACGACATAGTAAATTACTTCACAGTTTTTGTTAATCATGGACAACGACATGAAGAAAGATACCGCCGCGGCTCTGGGAAGAATCGATTCCCAGTCACAAACCGACGTTGTCAATGGCGACGACCTGCGCCTCGCCCAACTCGGGCATGCGCAGGAGTTGAAGAGACAATTCTCGTTGCCGGCGTTGGGAGCTCTGTGTCTCTGTCTCATGGCAACATGGGAGGCATTGTCAACAGTTGTTGCGCCAGCTTTGGTTAGCGGGGGCGCACCTTGTCTGTTCTACAACCTGTAAGTTGACATCGAAGCTGGGGTTCATGGCAACTTTTGTTATACGAGACTAACATCGTGAAAAGCATCATCTCCACAATTTGCACCATTTGCATCGCCTCATCGCTCGGAGAAATCGCTTCAATTTATCCGACTGCTGGAGGTAAAGTTTCCCATTGAATGCTGAAGAGTCTTTGTTACGAAGATGCTCGGTTTGAGTCTCAACTCAACAAGACGATGAAGTGCAATTGCATGAAGCTAGAAACTAATTCGTTTCCTTTTAAAGGTCAATACCATTGGGTCGCCGCATTATGCCCACCATCGACTCGATCCGCGGCAGCATTTACAACCGGATGGATTTCCGTGGGTGGCCAGGTTGTTCTGACCTCCTCGGCCGCCTTCGCAGCCGGTCTCCAGACCCAGGCCCTCATCATCCTCAACGATGATTCATATCTCCCACAAAGATGGCAGGGAATGCTGTTCTACTGGGCGATCTTGATATATGGAATGGCTATGAATATCTGGGGTCACAGACTTCTCCCCACCGCCAATCTTTTGTCCGGTAAGCAATTAGATACTCTTGGCTTCGAAAACAAAGACCACCACTAACAACTCCAGGTGTCCTCCACGTCGTCGGTTTCCTCTCCATCTTGATAGTGCTAGGCGTCATGGCACCCAAGAACTCGGCCTCGTTCGTCTTCACTGAATTCGTCAACTCCAGTGGTTGGGAGAGTGATGGCGTCTCATGGCTCGTCGGACTCATCAGCGCCGTCTATCCCTTCCTCGGGTACGTTCACCACCTCCTCATACCGCTCTACAAGCGCTAACACATCTACACAGTTACGACGCCGCCTGCCACTTGGCCGAGGAAATGCCCAACGCCAGCCGCAACGTCCCAATCGCCATGGTCGGCAGCGTCGTCGTCAACGGCATCATGGGCCTCGTCTACGGCACCGTCCTCCTCTTCTGCACCGGTCCCCTCGAAGCCCTCCTCTCAACCCCGACAGGGTTCCCCTTTATGCAAATATTTATGGACGTGACAAAGTCCTACGGCGGCGCGACCTTCATGTCCCTCATGATCATCCTCACCGCCATTGCCGCCACCGTCGCCGGCATCACGTCCACCTCGCGAACGCTGTGGGCTTTCGCCCGAGACAAGGCCACGCCGTATGATCATTACCTCAGCAAGGTCAATAAGCGCCAGCAGATCCCCGTCCACTCCGTCGTTCTCGTCACGGTTCTCCAGATGTTGCTTGGATTCATCTACCTCGGCAACACAACCGCGTTCAACGCTATTCTGTCCATGGCTATCATCGGGATGTACCTTAGCTACATCATCCCCATCGTGTACATGCTGGTGCACGGCAGGAAGAACTTGAGCCGTTCCGACTTCGGCCCCTTCAAGCTTGGTCCCGTCTTGGGCCCCATCTTGAATGTCATCAGTTTGATCTGGATGACTGTGGTGATCATCTTCAGCACCTTCCCCTCGGCGATGCCCGTTACCCCGCAGAACATGAATTATTCGATTGTTGTAATGGCTGGGTGGCTGGCCTTTGGCGTGGTCTACTACATCTCATTTGGGCGGAAGAAGTTCGAGGTACCCGCTGTTGATAACGTTGTGACTGGCGTCTCCGTTCACACGGAAGTTGTAGTTTAGAAATATGCGAGAAGGAATAGTTGGAATTTGAAAAGACGGAAATCGATGGAACCTTCGGTCTCTCATGATTGTGTATCAAATTAGTCCCTGAAACCTCCGTGAGATCTCTTCCGGATCTCCAAGTGACATCCCCTGATCATTCCCTCCAAAGAAGCCGACAGGAAAGTCTGAAGGCGCCGGGTGCCCAGAATTCGCTTGCCCGAAAGCGTCGAAGAGGTTCATGAGGTCATTGCCCATGTTGAACATGTCCGGCATAGAGCTTGCTGTCGGCGGGCCAGCCTCGTATGCATCCCACGTGGCTTCCGTCCTCCTTCCATCGCGCTCGCTTTGACCGACAGTCTGCTCCGATCCGTCGACATGGGCCTCATTCGGATCTGTCTCCCCATTGTCGACTAGCTGGGGTACGTCGCCCTTATCAGGGTCGCTACGCAGGCCCAACGACTTGATGCTCGGCATGAGCCCTCGAATCGTCTTCCACAGCCTCCGACTGGCATGCCCGTGGCGAGAGAACCCCTTCACCAGCTGTACAGCTTTCAAAAACTTCTCCTTGCAAGGTTCAGTAAAGACACCCGGCGCGTGACACACAGCCAGGAGGATCACCGCCAAGGCGCTCATCAAGAAGTAGTTGAAAGCGTGCTGCTGCCGCGCATAGATGTCGCTCGTCTCGTTCAAGTGGACAAGTACTTGTATCGTGTCAAGAGCAATCTCGGTGACGAGCTTCGCGCTCTGCATGTCTGCTTTGATACTGGCGGTGCTCAGAACGTGGTGGCGGTGGATGAGCGTGCGCATGTGGTTCCCTCTCAGGTAGAGCAGAGTGCGGAGGCGATGCACGCTGCGGGGCTGAATCCTGGGAGCAAGGCCTAGCCTTGGGTGCCGAAGCTGCAAATCTTCCGGTATCGAATTGAGCCAGTTCAGTGTCATGAAGTCGAGGAACGCCACCGTATCCTTGGGAATGAATTGTGATGGTGACTCGAAGGGCGGCAGCGCCTCCCAGACTTTCGAACAAAGCCTGCCATAGGCAACCATACACCTCAGGTAAGGATACTCGTCCCCCTTAATCAACCATAATCAGTACCTTTGTCTGCAAGAAAGATTGATCAATAAATGGGGGAACTTACCGGCTCTGGTAACTCAGGATCGATGTCACGATCGATGAGCCCAAAAGACAGACTCGTGCCGAAGCTCCATCGGCGATCTAGTACGTAGACACACCAGAAGCATCGCAGAGCTAGGTCCCTCTCTTTGGGATCCTTGAAGTTCTCGAGGAGGATCGCGCGACGATGAAGACCGATTTCCAATACTTCCCGCCCAGAGATGCCGATCGATCTCCATGCCAGTAACTCCTCGCCGCAGTGGAACCAGTAGATACTCTGATGTTGAGTCAGCAAAGGATTGAAGGTCCCGGTGGCCACTTGAACCAGGTCGCAGGAGACGCAGAACTCACTAGCATAGTCATGATCTGGAGCTCTTTCAGGTCGATAAAGGCTTCGCCAGACACACGACACACGATCGGCTCCACCGCATCTACCAGCTTCGTACTTATGGCATTCTGGCCTTGAGCCTCCATCACTATAGAGGTAGCAATCGCTACTTTGACAATCTGGACATCCTTGAGCTCAATTTTTGGTCGATCCCCGGCAGAGATCGAGTCTGCGCCCGCCGTCGGGTTCTGCTGGGCTCTCACAAAGTCGAGGATATGCGGCAAGTTGGCAGAGACATCGTTCATATTGGTGAATGGGTACACAGACTCAACGTCATCCTGATAGACGTCAAGGAGCCGAAAAACCTCGTCAGCCTCGAATGTCAAAAGACAATCCACGTCCTTTTGCGATGCCGAATGCGAGGCTGGGTGGTCTGAGGTTTCGGAAACCGCCCTCGCAGAGGCGGCCGGCGATGCGGATCTGCTCGTTGGCGACGCATCGCGCGTCTGGATGTGCACGCGGGAGAGCGAGGACTCCGCGATGCGAAGGCTAAAGGCTGACCTGGTAGGGCCGACGAACTGCGGTTCTCTCGGTTCGCTTGGCCTCCGGTTGGATTCGCTCGTGTACAGAGGACTTGGATGTTGCGGACCGCCAAGGGCGGCGGGCGACCGGGTGTTGATCTGTGTGATCTTTCCGGTGAGCTCTCGGAGGGACGAGGTTAGGCTGGCGACCTGCTCTCGCAGAGTTGCCACCTCGTCGCTCAGGTTCTTGTATTGTGAGCTGTCACGACCATTAGTCTACTGGATCGGTGATCGGAACATGGGAGTGCTTCATACGGGTTGATGGATTCATCTCTCTCGTTGGTGGCCTCGCGATCTCTCAGCGGCGTCTGCTGCGGGCCAGGAATGAAGATACACTCGGCGCCATTGGAGAGACATCGCCGGCACACGGCCTGGTGATCTTCCTTAATACACTTGAGCTTCCGCTTCTTGCACTCGTTGCTTTTTCCCGGTCAAACTCTGTCAGCGACATGTCTTTCCGACGCGATGGTCACCTCACCGACGGTGTGGATTGGATGTCTTTCCTTACCAGGCGACGGGGGTGTACTTGGCCCTCTTGGACCGCTGCACCTCGGCAGATGCAGACGCAGGGGCAGGACGCTTCTGTACCGATGCGGATCCCGCGGCCGTCGACGGCGGCGTCACGGCCTCTGCTGCGTCCGCGTCCAGGCCCATGTTGCACTCTTCGCTTACAGTGTTGCAACTGGGGGCGCGGTCATAGGCCCGCGGAACAGATGAGGTCAGTCGGAATCGGTGGGTGTGTGCTGTGGTGATGATGTAAAGGAATGGTTCCGAGTCCTGTTGGGGAGGGGGGCGTTCCGGCAGTTATTAGTAAAGAACGCCCCTTATCAGCACAGTCCTTCCGGGCCACTACCTAGGTACCGTAATCAAGGTCCAGGCACATCGGGAGGCGATAACCATCCCGTCTCCGACTTTCCACCCCCAGTCAATGGTACTTGTTTTCAATCGACGAGCGCGGAAAAATTTGACCATTCCGTCAGATATCCAGGTATTTCTTCTAAGCTTTTATGCTCTTCTATTTGTCCTCTTCGCCATATCCAGACGCTTCTTCTGGCAGTCATAGATAATTGCCAATCAAGGTTATACTGAGCGAGTCAGACACCATTGACTGAAGTGGGCTTTATTCCACTGGCTGTGCTTAACATCCTCTAACCCGAAGACAACGTAATAATATGTGACTTGCGGTCCACTTTCTTCTATACTTGAGTCCTAGCAATTTGACAGTAGTATCGCCTTGGTCACGAATGCCTCAGCTGTTCGCTCTGGCTCTTGCTTGCACTAGGCAGGTTGTGAGCTTCCTCCCTCAAGCCCTTCCTCTTACTTCTCTTTGTGGTGTACTAGATAATCGAGATGTTCATGCACGTACTATTGAGCTGCTGTCTATGTGTAAAGGCATTGCGTCTGATGGGATACCCTACAGTCAACCTGCGGAACAAGAGCAGCTCACCATTTACACCCCCGCTGAACCAAATTGCCCGAATATGATACGACGCCTTGGTGATCATGGTCTTGTAGAACTTCTTTAACGACAGGAAGACACCTTGATAGAATCGAAAAAGAGCCTAGCTATTCATCCGTGCTGTCTCGCTTCTCCCAACTTCGAGTTGGGGAAGATCTCTTTTTCGACTCGACCCAAAACCAGCCTCCAGCGATGAGGAATGTCAGAAACATGAGGGGAACGGTAACTTGCATGAACCTAGTCAGAGCAAGCCAGGAAAAGCTTTCGCCATCTTGATATTTGACAATATCCGTGCTAAAGAATGTCTTTATAGTGTTACATTAGGTCAGCGATTTGAGGCACGACGTCAGACCTGGCCAGATGATGATCAGGTCCCAGAGGTCAACGAACTTACACTGGAGAAAGTTGCAGGAAGATATATCAAAGTAACGACGGTGATTATCCGCATTGCGATTGCCTCGGTAGCGCTTTGATTCGCTTGCTCAAACATTTTGATGTTCAATTCGTACGCAACAGCGGCAGTTTGTCCCTGAAGGAATTGGATGAACTGCAGAGTGAAGGCTGTTAGGATGACTCGTAACAGTAAGTTGATCTCGTATTTGGATCACTTGCCGATGCTTTCTTGCGAGCTACGACTTTCGCCAGCCCTGTCGCCATCGAGGCAAGCATCTCGGCCTCATCAATGACCTCATCGACTTGGGATGCAAACTTATGAACCTCTTGTTGGCAGGCCCACCTCTCTCTATTGGGAAAGTCTTCATCGTGAACGAGCCCTTTATAGAATTCTCTAAACAGCTTCAAGACGTTGACGTTGAACGCCATTATTATTGCGGTTTCATTGGTTTTGTCCTCCCACTTTTGCACCTCCCCTAAAGTGGCCGAACTCTGGTTTTCCCGGTCAAAAGTGGCTTCGATATAGGCAATTTCCAGGTTCTATACCTTAGAGTTAGATGTCTTTGCGTGACCCAGGTGAGGAATACTGTGTAGCGTTTTACCAGATCATTTATGATCTTGCCAAGATCAAGTACGGCACGCTTCCATTGAGACGTGACCCATGCTGCAAGTGCCAAGTGCGTCTCAAGGGAAGATCCTAAGGCGTGGTCGATGGTGTCAAACTTCGACTGGTGCGCGCCCCTTTCGCGAAACATCTCACCTACACGCTCCTTTATCTCAGCATGGGGGTCACCAATCATCCAGACTTGAACGCCGGTACCGACGTCGAAGCGATGATATATGGCATACTGCTCGATAGTCCAACTCATGGTATTATCCACTTCTCCCCACCTAGTTACCTTGAGGTTGTAGCATAGCTGGAAGGCTCTGCCACTCCGATCCATTTGTGGAATACACATTGCTGGCGTTGGGTTTTTGAGCACCTTCGCGCTTTTGAAGCCGCTGAATCGCAGACCATTATCCTCAGTGTCTGATGACCCATATAGACATATGAAGTCCAGGAACTGGGGCATGACTTGGTAGTGCGTTAGCAAACGCCATAGCATTGTCCCTGATAGCTCTAGGGGCGCTACCGCGCTTTTTGTGATGAGGAATCTGAAGTAGACATCCATGATTAGTTATACGTGCCTACCTACCATAAGTAAAAAGGGGAACAAGGATAGGAGTATTGAAAGTTTGAAGGGGACCCACACGAAACGGCACTTTGCATCTTTTTGAACACGAATCGATACCTGGGCCAGAGGGCTATTTGAGCCATCAACCAGGTTTTGCATTGGGTCTTGCGGAACATGACCAAGAAGGTCTTTCAGCTGATCATCATTAAGAACGTTGACTTTGGTAACACTTCCGTCGGCTGAGATGTCGCGTATCGGTACTTTTATTTTGTCCTCGTCTTGCATGAACATGAGCCTTTCGCCATCTGACAGTCTCTCATGATAACCCTTCAAGATGGCATCTCCGTACGATTTGGCCTCGATATGGTTGCGGGGGAATGCAGTCAGTTCCAGATATGACTGCTCAAACTCATGGGGAAGCGCATTTGAGGTCGCCATTCTCCCGTAACATGAATTGTGCGTGATCAGATCCAAAGCGTGATGTTTTTACTCGAAAGGAGTACTCAGATGAGTGGGGTGCCTGTAGAACATCCCCGAATTGCACAGGAAACAATTGACTGAGAGAAAGGTTGAAATTTCTGGCAAATATGAACCGAGCTAGTGACCTAATGAGTCTGTCCGGCGGGCAGTGCTTTTGAGGGACAGTTGCGTGGATCACCTACCCACGTGCATCTTTCGACCTCTGTTCCGGCCTGTTCCACAAGAAGCAGGCTCTCAGAAAATGCAGTCCTGCTCACACCGCCCACGCCGGGCTCACCAAGCGGAGTAAATCACGAAGCCACATACATGCACATATTCAATATTATGTACTGTATACCAATCAGAGCTTAGGATCTATGTGTGGTTCTGCATACCCTCACACCATCTCCTACACCCAGCGATATTTTGTTGTGCCCACTGGCATGCATTCTCTCTGAGAGCCCTCCCACCATTATCTGCTATGACTCTGGGTCAGGGGTGTACCTCTCTCTCGTCTCCTGTCTTGCTCGGTCGCACTCGTCCGTTTGTCTCAGTGCATCAATATCTTGTTTGTCCTTCTGCAAAATAGGATAATCAGTTGCATGCTCTGGATAGCTTATTCTAATTTCCGTTGGAGACTTAAAGACACCAGAATCTACACTTACCTCTGACAGCCTTTTGGGGATACGGAAAATGTATGAGTCCGAATGTAAAGGCTTTGGTTCTTCGTTAGCAAAACACATTCTTGATGTTCGATCGTGGAATCATCCAGCAAAACGAACCAATTCTTGACTTAACCTTGCTTCAGCTCCTTCTCCTCTGAAACGATTCATAAGCCATTGCCGTAGCTCGGACTCTCTCAGGTTGTACGCTGGGACCTGATCTACAACCCATTCCTTTGGTTGTTGTGATAGCGACTTGAATGATGACTGTCTTCTCTGGCTTTTGAAGGAAAATCTTTGTGTGAGTGTCTGCTTTGGGTCTTTTTCAGTTGACGCATCGTTTGGTCTCGGCTTCCAACTCAATTTTTTCGATAATGTAGTATACATGGACTAGGAGAAAGAGTGCTGCCCTCATCCGCAGATTGGAGGTAAATGTAAGATGCGAATCTAGTTCCCGAGGCTATCGCTTCCAGGCAGCAAAAGCAGGAACACTTTCAGAGCAGACGTAGAAGGGGAGGTGTCGGGCTTATGAGTGTGTAGTCGCCTGAGCCTATTGGTCCCTCGTTCGCCTTGCCAAGTGATAGGCCGCGGCTAACTCGTTAGGCATAGATTTGTATTGTGCCGTGGTATGACAGATTGTGTGACCTAGAACGCCACCTTAGCTCACGAGTAAGATCACTGTATTCTCTCGAGCCAGTAAGAAGCCAATTATGCTGTTTACGTAGGCATGCCATACCTTACTGCTTGCCATGCTTATAGGACGATGGTTGAGGCCAGGCTCTTAATGGGCTGTGCATCTCACACCAAAGGGGTAGCGAAATCCGGCATGCATATGTGGCTCGAGCTGAACGGCATTCGTGCGGCGTTGCCAAACTAATTGCTTGTTCAACATGTCTTTAAATAAATTGCCCTGCCTCCAGCATGCCCACGTATAGTACACAAAAAAGCCCCAACGTCTGACTTTGGCCACTTGATAGAGCCCACGTACGGATGGCTTGGATATGATGCTAGCTCAATAAGTCGCCACTAGGATCAAACCATTGATGAAATCTCACGACAGGATATATCCCGTACTCTGGTTCCATCTTATGGTTCAGACCTGACCACGACATCAACCCAGTCCGGGTGAAGCCAGGGGCAACGTCAGGCTGTCAACAAACATAGCCCTATGCCCTTGCTGTCCCTCTCTTATCAAGTATCTGCGTTAGAAACGTGAATTAAGTAAAGACTGGCGTGAAGGAGCCCAATGTCCTGGTTCCTCATGGTGGTCAGTCATCGCGATGCAAATCGCCTGTGTATTCCCTGATGAACGGTGAGGGAGCAGGAGAAGATAGATGCTTAGGTAAGGCAAAGAACTCGATCTAAGCGGGGGAGGGGCAGAGCGGGCCGAGCGGTGTGAGCAAATGCGCAGGACCCCTAAATTCTTATCGCTTTTTCTGCAATTGCTTATCAGAGATACGCTAGGCTTAGCTGAGCGCGGTTTCGTCAGGTCCCTGCTTGTTCCAGGAAATTTTCCAATCAACATCACTCCCTCTTCACCACGGCACCTACGAATCTTCGCCGTTCGAGGACAGAAATCAAAGAGCTCCCCAAAGTACGACATCATGGATCGCAGAGGAAGAGGCTCGAACCAGAAGCGCGGTCCCCGACGCGACCGCCGCGATGCGCCGTACAACGAGTCTCCCAGATCGGGCCAGCCCGCGTCGGCCCCGGTAGCATCAGCAACAGCAGCCGCCCAAGCAACGGCGCCGCCTCTCACCGAGCCTGTCCCCCAAGATACACCGAGATTCGCCGATATGGTCGGCGTTGACCAGTCTCTGGTTCAGGCCATCACCCAAGATCTCAAGTTCAACCACATGATGCCCGTTCAGGCCGCTACCCTGGGCGAGCTCCTCCCTCCGAAGCGCGGCGATTGCCTCGTCCAGGCGAAGACCGGCACGGGCAAGACGATCGCCTTCCTCCTCCCCGCCATTCAGACCCTCATCACGAACAACCGCGGCCGCGGCGCCGGAATCTCTCTGCTCGTCATCTCCCCGACCCGCGAGCTTGCCATGCAGATCGCCAAGGAGGCCGAGGCCCTCCTCCAGCGCCTCAAGCAGTACCGCGTATGCATCGCCATCGGTGGCACCAACAAGGACCGCGAGGAGAAGCAGATTCTCAACGGCTGTGATATCCTCATCGCCACCCCCGGTCGTCTCATCGATCACATGTCCAACGAGTACATCAAGGACGCCTTCCGCCACCTCGACACTCTCGTCCTCGACGAAGCCGACCGCCTCCTCGATATGGGTTTCATGCCCGCCCTCAAGGACATTGTCCGCGCTCTTCCCGATAAGACAAAGACCAACCGCCAGGGCATGCTCTTCTCCGCCACCATTGCCTCCCACGTCGAGCAGGTTGCTGGCCTCGTCCTCTCCCAGGGCTACAAGTTCATTTCGACCATCCCGGCTGGCGAGGCAAACACTCACGAGCGCGTGCCCCAGCACCTCATTAAAGTGCCCAACTTCGCTGCCGTTGCGCCGGCCATGGTCGGTGCTATCCGCGAGGAGGCTGCGCACGTCGGCCCCGAGACTTTCAAGGCCATCATCTTCGCCCCAACGGCCGCGCTTGCCGACTTCTACGGCGACGTCCTCAGCAACGTGCCCGGCATGCCGCCCACCGCCGTTCTGCACTCGCGTATCTCACAGAGCAAGCGTACAAAGACCACCAACGACTACCGCGACTCCAAGTCAGGCATTCTCGTTGCCACAGACGTTATTGCCCGCGGCATGGATTTCCCCGGAGTCACATCCGTGTTCCAAGTCGGCATTCCCGCCGATAAGGAGTCCTACATTCACCGTCTCGGCCGTACCGCCCGCGCGGGTGCAGAGGGCCGGGGCATCTTCATTGTTGCCGAGGTCGAGGGGTTCTTTCCGCAATGGACCCTCAAGGAGATCACTTTCCAACCCCGTCCCGCCGACCTCTCGTCCGCCGAGGCAGTGTACGATATTGCAGAGCAGCGCATCGACGAGGCGCAAAAGGCCAAGATCTACCAGGCTTGGCTTGGCTACTACAAGAACTGGATGAAGCCTCTCAAGTGGGACAAGGATCAGCTCGTTGCTGAGGGCAACACTTTTGCCCGTGACGCGCTTGCCTGCCCCGAGACGCCCGCGATCCAGAAGAGCACCATTGGCAAGATGGGTCTCCGTGGAACCAGAGGCCTGGTTGTTATTCCTGACGCGCCCAAGAGCCGTCACGGACACCGCGGCGGCGGCGGCGGTGGTGGCGAAGGCCGTCCCGCTGGCTCTGGCGGCCGTGGAGGTGGTGGTGGAGGCGGTGGTGGTGGCCGCGGCGGTGGAAGACGTGGTGGACGTTTCTAGATCATCACATGTTCACAGTCCTCTGTCTTGACTTCTCAGTCTTCTTTTTCGGGGAGGTATGTTTTGAGCTTGTTTACAGCAGCACTACATCACTTTTGATACCCTCATACAACTGTCTACGACGGGGAAATACGGGGATTCGTATACCTGGGATACACATACATCTGGAGGCATTGGTGGCCGGCGTTTTTTTCGGTATAGACGATGGGTTTTCGGTATTAGAAAGTCAGGAGGAAAAGTTTACTAGGCATACATGACGCCTGGACACGACAAAAACATAAAGACAAAAGAAAGAAAGAGAGTGAGAGAGCCCCAGAGACGCTCTCGTCCTACAACCAACACATTTGATCCTAACCATCGTTTCCTCAAGTGACCTCCTTACGTGACGACATCTTACACGAGTGACTGACCAGACTCTCATTCCGGCCGCTCTATTCGATACACCACACACCTAACATCGTCCCGTCCATGCGCAGACGTGACCGTCTCCCACGCAAACTCAAACCCGCACCTCCGCAACACCGTTTCACTGCCCACGTTTCCATCATGGACATGCGCCTCCAGCACGTTCCTAAATCGCCCTTCCTCTTGTTCATGCCATCTTCCTCCTCCTACCTCACTGCCGCCCTCCGGCCTCGAGGATAATCTCCGTCCGCCGTCGGGCCCGCAGTCCGTCCCGTCGGGACCTCTTCGTCGAGCCCAATACGCTCCTAAAAACGCCCGCAGCGCCTCAGTGGCGTACCCCATCCCCCAAGACGCTCGTTGGAAAATGTAGAATATCTGCGGCGGGCTCGTGATGCCGATGAACCCAATCACGGCTGCCTCCGCCGTTACCTCGTTCGCTTCGGTGTCGTTATCGGTTTTATTAGTTTGTTCATCTGTCGGGTAATTTCTTTGCATGACAGCAAATGAGAACCCCCCTTCCTTCATCATGAGTCGCACCCTCTCGATACTCCGTCGACTCTCCTCCGCCACAACCACGGTCTCGACGCCAGGCCTATATCAGGTATCAGTGCATTAACATCAGATCAGATCAGACCTAATCTTGGGTCAGATCAAACGATCTAGAAGCCATATAGAAGCCACAGAAATGACCCGAAAGAAAAAGCTTAAATCTGGGAATTTGGATGGGATGGGGTGAGATGAGATGAGATGAGATGGTGATATATCGAAAACGAAAAAAAAGAGAAAAAAAAAGAAGAAGAAAAAGAATATGTTATGCCATACATGTACCGCATAACCTCAGAATCCAACCTCATCCGATGAATCGCACGCAAATCACCCGCCTCCACGGGCCGCAGCCGCAACCGCGCCGTCGCGACGCAGACGTTATGCTGCAGTGGCATCGAAGCCAAATCTGCCGCCGACGTTGCCATCATCAAATCAAAACAAATCAATGTGATTCAAGACAATTCGAATCCAGAATACCCTTGCTCCCCCGCGTCTTCAGAAACTTGCAATGTGGGCAATCTTATTACCCCGTTAGGCAAGTGACGTGCGTGCCCAAGCTTTTCAACGATGCTGCATGCGCACAGGCGTGACAGGTAAGGCGCTGGGGAGAAGGAGGATGGACATTACACTACTGTGTGAAGGTTGTAACCAGCATTTCCCGTCCTCTCTTTCAAATACAGCAAAGCCCGCCGAAACTGAGCAATTGGGGTCAGATCGGCAATTATTGCCCTCGTGAGGAGCGCAATAAAAAAAAGCTTATCTATCCGTATTTCATGCTTGGGGGGGAGATCTCGACAAGGTTTCGCATCCTTCGAGAACAACAAAACAGTCCAGGCTCAAGAGACTGCGCCGTAACACTGCTTGCAAGTCTTCTGCAACCGAGCCTGAGCGAGCCCTGTTACCTTTGCCCGCAGCCTGCCGCTTACCCCTTCAATCTGCTGCCGAATACCCGGGGCCCACGTCGGCCGGCACTTCTCCACACTCGCGGAGACATCCTACTTTTGACAGCGGGATGTGGGACTGCCCGGAGAGGCGCACGCAGGTCAACTAGTTAAGAAGAGAGTGAGCACAATTACAGTAGGTGTATTGGGGAGACATTTCATCCAATGTCACCACCAGAGGTATATACATGTACGCGTAGAATGCCGCCGAGTCCGAACCCACCCAACAGGGTCACTAAACACCCAGGTAAGCTACGACACGCCATCCAGCGTGCAAACGGTAGCTTTGAACACCTGTATCGCCAGAACCGCTGGTAGACAATAAACCGTGGCCGACGTAAAACTCCTAGTTCCGTTTGTGCAGATGCTCCCAGTTCACGCCCGCCCAATCCTATTCCCTTTTCCTATCCAATAGTGTTGAAGTATGAGTACAACCGACCTACTCTGGCCCAGAGCATCCACCTGTCCGTCCAGCGTCAAGATCAAACAACGTGGTGACAAGTTTTCATGTCCCTAGCCATAGACCGACCCTGCCACCATTTGGGTATCCACCGTTCTTGTCCTCCGGTCTCCGTCCGTCATAACCGCCATTATCCCCTTGATGTTGCTGCTGCTGCCGCGGGTCCATACCAGGATTCTCCCCACCAACGGAGCCTCCCACGGGACCGCCGGTACCGGTTGCCATCCGATCATGCATCATTATCCCGTTCCCCATATCGGGATAGCCTTGGGCCCCTTCACGTTGATTGGTGTAAGGTCCAGCATTATGTTCTGGGTATTCGCGCGGCCCCGTTCCACCGCTGCTAGGGCTCCAGGCTGTATCATATACTGGCATGCCCATCGCTGCCATATCGGAGGTGTTGCTTCGAGTCAGGCCTAATGGGCTCATGAGATCGACACTGCTTGCGTCCATGTCGACTCCACCCATACCACCCGTCAAGCGATCGGACCCAAGGTCGATTCCCAACCCCATACTTGGTATGGTAGAAGGATGGTGCATTGAGTTGCTTCCGAGGTCGAGCCGTTGTTGTTGTTGTTGTTGCTGCTGCTGCTGCTGCTGCTGCTGCTGCTGCTGGTTGTTGCCATTGCTCTCTTCGTTGTCGTCAAAGACTTCGCCCACAACGCTCCCTCTTTGTTGTCCAACTTGTCCCCAGCCTTGCTCCATCATGTGGTGCGCCTGACCTGCGGCAATCATCGCCGCGGCGGCTGAACTCATTCCAGACATGGCGGGGCTGAGTTGTGTTCTCATACTTCCTGGGTTCTCGCCGGCAGCGGTGAGCAGCTTCTCTGCGAACTGTTTTCGGGAGTTGTCGCTCGCACTCAGTGTACGCACAAAGAACTCGATAGGGTCTAGACTCGCCCCCTTTCGACCGCTGCCCAGAACACCCATATCGCCTGACGTAAAGTCCATGGCGGTTGAGAAGCCAACACTTTCGCATGCCCCCAATACGTTAACGCACCAGGTTCCGATTTCGAAGATCTTCTCCATGATACCCATTCCGTGAACCTCGACAGCTTTACTAGGCAAGCTTGATAAGATCGAGGCCGTATCACGTGCAACTGTCAGAGGGAACGAAAAACACATGCTGTTCCCACCGCCGACACCGCTGCCCGAAGATACCCCACCTCCTGAGTCGGCCGGGTTGGTCCAGCTCAGAAGGCCTTGCCTCATCGACGACTGCCACACGATCAGTCGAAGCCATTGTTGTGTGATGAGCAAATCGGCTTTTTGAATGTCTGTCGGCTCTGGTGCCCCAGCATCTCTAGAGGCTGACGTTGAACCATAGGAACCCATTAGCTGCCCATGAGGCTGGGTTGGTGGTGATGATCGCCCATGTGGGCGAAGGAATGCAGGAGGGAGGGAGAGAAGGTTTTGCAAAGCCAAAAACGTTGTTGCGCTGACGCGGGGATCAGACCCCTCATTCCAAGCCGTCACGAACGATTCGTCCAGAGGAGTGTAGGATGAAACAAGCTGCAGAAAACCGGCATGGATATCGGGGCCTTCGTAGGGTTGCCGTGTTGTTGGTAGCGACGGTGTTCTTTTGAACGTAATTGGCTTGTTGCGAAGAATCGCAAAAGACCTATGTAGCACAAGTTGCGTTAGTATCTCGGATGCGGCCTCGCAATATACGTTGGCGTGACCCAGCGGTCAGTCGTTACTAACCTTTCCGTTACGAAGAGAATCCAGAAGACCCTCTGTCGGCATAGCGTTTCCTCGCGACTCAGCCCGTAGTATGTTGAATCGTCCTGGAGTCCTAGGTCCTGTGCGTTGGTCAACGCTTCCCGGAGATAGTACCACGATTTGCGCGATTGGTTGATTTCAAAGAAGGATGTGCTCAGGTAAAACGACGAAATCACGGCGGACAGGGACAAATCCTCGAGGAAGTCGTACGTCTGCCTCGTCGAAATGGTCTCGTCGAGGAAGAAGCGACCGACGACTTCCCAAGACGTGGGTCCAGGCGCGCCGATGCTTTTACCAGACATGTGCATCGACGTCAAGGCGCAAAGGGCGTAAATCAGGTTCTTCTCGCTCGGCGTCATGGGTCGGTTGATCGTTTCGCGGACGGTCGGCATGTAGATGAGAGGCATGATGGGGTAAATGTGCTCGTAGTACAGCTCGACCAGCTGGGGGATCATGTGGAAATAGCTCCTCGTCCTCGGTCGTAGTTCATCGCTCGAGAAGATGCCTCTGGGCTCCGGTACATTGGTATGTCCTGGGTTCGAGGTGACGGCAGCCCAAAAGCTCGGAGGGGTCGATGCTGCGGACGCGTTGGACGAATGTTGAGATGTCGCTTCGCCGAGGTCGCTACCGCTCATCCCAATGTCGACGCTGTCTAGGTTCAGCGGCGGGCAAGCTGCTGATAATCGACGCCGCACATACTCTGTAGGACTCTCGAGCGCAGTTTCTGCATTGAAAGGTTTCTGGACTTTTGGTTGCTGCTTTCCTTGGGACGACTCCCGGGCGCGTAACTCATTTATGACCCGTCCATGGCCACGCTTCGGTCCTCTTTTCTTAGGGACATGTTCGCGCTTGCAGGTGAGTGAAGCGTGCACGCATTGCTCACAAGGGAACTTGCCATCGCAACGGATTCCTATTGCCAGTTAGTT